ACTTTCATATTTTCCCTTTTTAAAACCTCATTTTCATACTTTCACCGTGTTCTTCACATAAAAAATGGAACCTTCTAGCTTCAAATAAGTACATGATTGTACTGCAAATTTCTGTGACACTGCATTTTGCTTTAATATATTGGCTATTCCCACTTTTCCTAGTAAAACTTTTCTCAAAAAATATAAGAATATTCAGGTTTAAAATGATTATTCAACTGTATATTACTAGCAGAAAATTCGAAGCTTTAAAAAATTGACTACTTCTTATTGTTCCTTGTAACCTTATTCACATTAGTACTACAGACATCAGGAAGTCATTCCTCTAGTATATATAGTGGATGCATTTATCTATTCACTATTTATATTTAGTGATAAATGAATTAATTACACTCTAAAATTTACACCACTAGGTTAGTGTTAGTGAATGCTTAAAAAATGCTTCAGTTACTGACCTTAAAAATGGATCTTTAAAGTTCATAATTCATCATGACCTCAAGAAAAAACCAGATTTGCCCCTAAATTCTTTCTCAAAACATATATACCTACTGACCAAAAATTAACATTATGCTCGCAAAAGTCACCTTCAGTTTAGGATTCCGTTTGAGATTCAAGTGATTTGCTTGTTAAATCAAGGCGAGTAGTGGAATGAAGCAAAATAGTGTAGTGCTGCCATCTGTCAGAGATTGGAGGAGTTGCCTGTACGTTGCCAGTATCAATGTAGAGGGAATGCAAGAGAGATGCTCTTCGGTGCACTTGCTGCGGTTGTTTCCGAGACGTTCGTGTATGTAGCATGATGCTTATACAACCGTAAAGATGAGTGTACACCATTAATTGAATCAGGATGTTTTTTATATAAACAACATAAATTAAGATTCACAGTACGTAATTTATTAAAAATTCTCAGAGTGTGAAATTTGATCTGAAGCAATTGCTTATGTAATATTTTATAATTTGAGGGTAAACAACTTAAATTTTCTATATTATCAGGGCAAATGATATTTTCAAAATCTCTAAAATTTCACAAAAAATTATATACTTTCTCCGAAAAGTCATAACTTTTTTAACAAATTATTAAACCCTTTATTATTACCCCTTATATTATTCGATATAAGAAAATGTCAAACTATTTATTGTATTTTTTAAACTATTTACTGTTTTTAATTTAATTTAACAATGATTAAAGTCATTTTTTAGTTGTATAACGTAAACCTTCATAATTTTAAAGAGCGGAACTAAAATTTGATAGCAATTGAACAAATAATTTCCCTGAACAAAATTTTCAAAAAATGTAAAATTTTTATTTTTTTAGGCCTTTGGCTGATTCGCTTTCACTGGAGTAAAATACGCAGAATACATCATTTTCAAAAACTACAAAGCAACGCAATTTAAATAATATATAAACAACTAAAAACAAATTTGTATAACGTAAAATTGTAAGAAGTTGCATAATGCAAACCTCTTTACTTTATTTTAAACTTTATAATTTTAAAGAACAGAACTAAAATTTGATTGCAATTGAACAAATAGTTTCCCAGTGATAAATTTACAAAAAATTAAAGAAAAAAATTTTTTTAGGCCTTTTGGTTTATTTGCCTTTACTGGATTAAATGGGCAGATTTTAAAAAAAAACTGCAAAGCAAAGGAATTTAAATAGTATATGAGCCACTAAAAACAAATTTTATTTAGTATATATTTTTTACTAACAAAACTATTAATAGTATTACATTTATTAAACTTTTAAACAACTGAATAGTTTTAATTAAATGTCCTTATTATATTAAATTATAAATCAATTAAATAAACATGTTTCACAAATCACTATTTAAACAAAATAGAATTTAGTTAAGATGTCTAACCATTATAACTTCTTTAATTATTTATAAAAATAAGTTGGAAATTAGAGAACATTTACAATACACAGTAACATGCTAATAACAAACTTCAGAATTAAATTTTACGGACAATCTAGTTTTGAAACTCATTATTCTATTAATGTTTTTCGAGTCATTTTATTTTTAAAAACTATAAATTAATTGTTTCAAAGAAGGTAAAAGTTTAAAGCTTAGAATAATTTAAATCTCAAAATATAAAAGATCTCAACATAATTACGTGGCAGTAATTCAATTAAATGGAAATAATTTTGTTGAAAAGTTATAAACTGAGGAGATGCTTCTTTTCTTTTCTCAAAACTCTCTAATGAACTTGGGAAAAGCTCTTTTCAAAACTCATTGAAAATGCTTTTTTTATAATTTCCACAAGAATGAAACTAATTATTGATAATTTTGTTATTTATCCATCTTCGGTTTCAATCTAAAATGTTGAAAACCATTTAGCCAAATTATTTTAATANACTTAGCTAAGATGTCTAACCATTATAACTTCTTTAATTATTTATAAATAATAAGTTGGGAATTAGAGAACATTTACAATACACAGTAGCATGCTAATAACAAACTTCAGAACTAAATTTTACGGACAATCTAGTTTTGAAACTCATTATTCTAATAATGCTTTTCGAGTCATTTTATTTTTAAAAACTATAAATTAATTGTTTCAAAGAAGGTAAAAGTTTAATGCTTAGAATAATTTAAATTTCAAAATATAAAAGATCTCAACATAATTACGTGGCAGTAATTCAATTAAATGGAAATAATTTTGTTGAAAAGTTATAAACTGAGGAGATGCTTCTTTTCTTTTCTCAAAACTCTCTAATGAACTTGGGAAAATCTCTTTTCAAAACTCATTGAAAATGCTTTTTTTATAATTTCCACAAGAATGAAACTAATTATTGATAATTTTGTTATGATTTATCCATCTTCGGTTTCAATCTAAAATGTTGAAAACCATTTAGCCAAATTATTTTAATAATGTGGAAGAACAAAACGCCTTTATAACAATGCACATTATTTCATATTGTGTTCTTTTAAATGCTTATTTCGCAGAATGTAATTGAATCGAACATATTTTGGGATTTCTAGTTGTTCCGAATACAGTTTTTTCTGTTTTGCTAAATTATAGAATTCATCGGTTAATTTTTACTTTTAATTGCAAGTTAGGCGGAAATCGTTTCTTCCGTCAATTACATAACTTCCATCAATCCATTAAAAGCATTTTAACTTTTTTTTTAATTTTTTTTTTTTTTGAGAACTAAATTTAATGTATATGGATCTTATTGAACCTATTTACATAAGATTTAAAATTTGACATTAAGAAACTTTTTTATACATTACCTTATTTATTTTGTCATGTATATTTTTATGTTTACTACGATTTTGTTTACTATTCTTTTTAACTAACTTTAAAAAAAAATTTACATCATGAAATATGCTTCAAAAGAGTGTTTAATGAGAGTGAGAGGGAGAGAGAATAGAAATCAAGTATAGCAGTTTATGATAGATAAATAACAAAAAGATAATACTATATGATACCTAATTGCGTAAATGTTATGTTTAATTGTGTTATGCTATGTTAAATTATTTTTTAGGTTATGTTATGCTATGTTTTTGTATTTTCTTTACATTTTACAGCTTAATTTAAACCGCTAAGCTATACTTTATTGGTATAACACTTCGGAATGTACTTAACTTAGATGTACATATTTCATTCAATATAAACTTATTTTATGCTTAACTTTGCACTTTAAAACTTTTTCTATAAAATATATTACCCCTTACTAAATTTCATAAAACATCAATTCCATTAAAATCAAAAATATGAATTATCTCTCCTCAACTATAAGATAGATGGTTGCCGGTAAACTTGCGATATAACATTCCTAAGCATTATTTAACGAAGATGCTTCCGTCGAATACAGGTTTGTACAGAGTGACACATGTTATAAACGAGCTTTTAATACCTTCACTTCCGATAACGGGCTGATACAGGTGTCCTCAAAATCCGGGACTGTCATAGGTCTTTGTCGTAAGTCTTCTCTCATGTTTTCATTTGACACTCTAGTTTCACATAATTTCGCAATTAATGGGAAATTAGTGTTACCAGAAAGACGCATTTTTCTGCGTCAAAATTCCTATTAAATATTAAAATGAAACTGTTTCACATTATTAAATATTGCAAAGGAAATTAGATACTGTTTTTAATATAAAATAATTTAAGATTGTTGGGGTGGAACCGATGTGATCGTTAAAATTAGTACCTATCTGCATTGGTTGGCCAATAATAAAATTTAAAACTTCAACTAAAATTGTTGCAAAAGAAAATGACTGCATGAGGAGAAAAAACAATTAAATAAACTGAATTAATGAATCAAACTCACGAATTAGAATAAATTTTTCAGATTTAATGTCATATATGCTGACAGGTTATGAACATTACATCTGAAAAATTTATTCTAATTCTTGAGTTTGATTCATTAATTCGTATATATAATATGTTGTTATTATAATATTTATTATAATTGCTTTATTTGCAATATAGAAACGCTATACATTTCAAAATATAAAAAGTGAATTTTTACACCATTCAATCTTCGAAGTTTTACGAATTTAACACAAAAAAATTAATAGTTAGCCTTATTTTTATTTATAATTATAAAAAGTTGGTATTTCTAATATATACTGCACACTGCAAGGACTAATTTCAAGTTATAACTCGTTCAAAAGAGCTGCATTCAAAAGTTTTTATTTTTTATTAAAAAATTAGCCAATTTTATTAGTATGCAATTACCATATGCTTCGATAATTAAAGTTCGTGAGAAAAAAAATTTTGGAATCATTTTATTTTGTAATGACTAAATTAAGTATAATTTTATAATTCAAAACTAAATTTAACTATATGTTTTTACCATTTAAAATTAAGTGCTACTGCCTTCCATAATTGAATATCATTAAAACTTCCTATCCTTTCTTCGCTCAGTAAAAAACATTATCTTTTTCCTATAAATTCCAAGTAAAATTGCTGTTTAAATGAAAATTGTAACTAATAATGACATCATCTGCAGCATGTTTCGACATGTTTAACGTTTCATTTCCTTCTTGATGTAGGTTTCTTGGATAAGGAGACGAGATTTTCACGTCCTAACAGTTGGACTGGATACTTATACCACGGATGACCGCTTCGAAGCTATTCACATGGAAAAGAAAAACGACTGGACTCTGAAGATTAAGTTTGCGCAGCTGTGGGACGAGGGATTGTACGAGTGCCAAGTCAGCTCTGATCCGAAAATTAGTCTATTTGTGAACCTCAGTATTGTAGGTGAGTGGATATTTAGAGATTTTTCTTTTTAAAAGCCCGTGAAATCTTTTTATAGAGAAGCATTTCAATAAATCAGAAGTAACTTAAAATGAGATATATTTCGTATAAACTGAGAATAAAAGTATGCTCAAAACTACCGGAATATGGTGTTTTGGCTGTATGGTAACACCAAAACTCTTTTACGTATTTTGGTAAAATTAACTATACAATATGATTTCATAATGTGTGATAAAATGCGGTAATAGTGGTAAAATTTGATATTTTCATCATGTTATCTTAAAGCATGCTCAAAAGCCTTTCTACTTGATTAAATTTACTTTGCAGCTTTCCATTTTTAACTAAATGTGTGGCAATAATCTTGAAAACTGGAATTTTATACGGCAAAATACAGGTATCAAGTTTTGCATTTTGCCATATAAAATTACATTTTTTAAAATAACATAAAAGTTTGTATATCTTACAATTAAAGTTTTTTTTCGACTATTACTGAATAATGTGGCGTTTTTATTTCTGTTAAGTAAAGAATTAATATAAGTCTTGTTTTTAAACAAGTAACATTTAATTATTTAAAATATTTAAGAAATAGCATAACTATATTAAACCAATTTAGCATTTACATAACTATTTTAGAATTAGAACATACAATTAATTCAACTTATCATTTTAACATTAATTCTTACGTGTTCTTAGAATAGATGGAGAGAGAGACTTACCCAGTTTAGTCATGGTTTCGGTTTCAGCCCTTTACTCACTCTGGCTGATTGCTCTTTTGATTGCTTCCCCAACCCTTTCCTTCGGCTGCTTTCATATCATATTTTTTGCCGGATAAAAAGTTGCAAATCTGAGGAAAGGTCAAGTCCAAAAGTTATTGTTGTTTTCGAGTTTGTCCCATGATGGGGGTGACATTGTAAGGTTTAAACCTAATTGTTTATTTGAATTACTTTATCCGTATTTAAGTTACTATTTGCCGATGGAGATTTCCCACGGTAGTTTTATTTAATTGAAGACTTTGAAATGTTCTAAAAATCTAATTTTTGCCCTTTCACTGGATTTTAATTTTGAGTGACTATAAGCGTCACAATAAATTAATAAAAAATAACAAATACTTATTAAAAATTGTTTTTACGTTAAATTATCTTTGAATAAACAAATTTTGTAATTGCTAGCAAGAGTTAATTTTTTTAATTAGGCTAAATATTACTCGAGATATAGCGAAAATAAATTTAACATTAATGGCTCCAAATTCTGAACGCACTTCATACCTAACTATTTGGATCATATTGTGGCTACCCTCATATATTGAGGTTCAGAAAATCAAATCAGTCAAAAAAAACAAAATATTTATTCAGAGAAGGTATGTGTTCGATCTTAAAATATCGTTTGCACTAATTAATTAGCATGAATGTGGTTACCTTATTGAACCATTAAAAATGAGCCCCAGTACGTGAAATTTCGATCATTAAACGAAACAAAAATTATTAGAAAGTCTTTTTTTCTCTAATGAGTATTATTTTCAACAATTAACATTGGAGGGACTTAATAATAATAAAAACTTCAAATAGCTAAAATAGCTAAATTACCTAATAGCTAAAACGCTATTGTTAAAATTAACAATTAAAATTAACAAAATTAAAATTATCAAAAAACACTTAAAATTAACAATTATTTTGGATTGAAACTTTTATTACTGATTAAAAGAAATATCTTCCAAAATAATACTGTGTTCTATAAATTCAATGAATGTCGTAATCAAATACAGAATTTTAAAAAACAACAAAATGTAATTTTTAATAAAAAAAAATATTAAAAAAATATTATATAAATTTAAAATATTAATTATAAGTCACTTTCTTTCATTTCATTTTGAAGGAGGCAATATGGCGATTTGGATCAATGAAATATACAAGAAAAGATCATATTTTCATTCGACGAATCTTCAGAAGTTGCCGTTTAGCTTGAAAATTGACTTGTTACAATGATGCCAGTCAAGAGTGTGAGTTTTGACAATGACTCTGGCTGACAGTATTAAATTTTGAATTAATAAATACCATTAATGGCGAAGTCAGAAAGATTGGATTAAAATTAGTGATGATTATTCGGTAGAAGTAATCGGTTGAAAAAGTTGAAATAAGCGTAGAACAAAAAATAGGTGAAGTTTCATTTAAGTTTGAAGAGTTTTATTTGACGCTAATTAATAATCGATTAAAGACAAAATATCTTGTAAATGAAAGGTAATAAAATTAAAACAAGATAGCACGATACATATCAATCAAGGATATTAGAACGAATTATGTGTAAGGCATAACAACGATCTTTTCACACATTGCATTTTTGAGAGTTGCCATTGACGTATATCTTAGTAGAACAGTTAGCTAAAATTAAAACTCTTTGTAAGTCTTTAAGCTTTAAGAAAATTATCAAGCAAATAAAATTTAGATCTCAATATAATATAATTCAAGGTGTATTGTCGTATATTTTTCTCCTCAGTGCGAAGCATAAAATTTGTGGGGAGTGAGATGTTTTCGACAATGTCAACCTTCATCTATGAAAAGGTACCCTACCATAGAATCGAATTAACATGTCTTATATACTAGTGAATTGGAATTGTATTTTCGTTGTGGTAGATACGCTAAAGTACTCCCCCACCAGAATTCTATCCGTTATAGAATTCGATGCGGATATTAGAACGGATATTTGAACGATTTATGTGTAATGTGAACACGCCTACCTTGGTAGAAACACCCACTTCGATCTGAACACGCCTACTTCGATGGATTGTCCACATTAAACAGTTGACTCGCACTTGTGACTGCAACATTATCCATCTCCTCGCACTGTTGCTACTCAGTCTCGTATCGATCACGTCCGGGTCACCAATGTGGGGAGTTAGTTGTTATTGACAATGTCAACCTTCATCTATGAAAAGGTACCCCACCATAGAATCGAGTTAACATGTCTTATATACTAGTGAATTGGAATTGTATTTTTGTAGTGGTAGATACGCTACAAATTCTACCCAATACTTGAATTAGCCTTTTATTGAAATGTATAATATCACTTTTATTCGAAATAATTTATCATGCACTTTTAGAAAGTTTTCGGAAATTTTGGTTGAAAACAATGTATTTAATTGTTATTTCTCCATATTGAAAAGAAAAAGTAAAATAACAATTAATAAGAGGGTATTCAAACTGTTAACTGTGAGAAAAACCGTTCATTAACTGCTTTCACCATTTACGGTTAAACAACCAGAATTCTATTGCACCAACTGGGCTTACCTAATGAAAACACTTTTAAAGCTTGGTTCACATTATAGACGTAAGAGCGCATCTATCTTATGATCGACAGGATGGTATTTGACTCCATGCGTTGAAACCACAACATTTCCTCTATTCTATTTAAGTCATGAAGAGTCTCCAGTGTCTTGAACTCCCCAATTTGTTAAATTGAACTATTAGAATACGATTCTCTTATTTACGAATAGTTAGCAGCGAAATAAAGCTGCTTAACGCGAAAAAGTCTAGTATTTCTCATCACAGAAACAACCAGATAGACTAATTAAACTGCGTTCCACGATTCATTTAATAAAACATAACCTAAAACCAATATCCATTACCTAATGAATTTCTATTTTACTGGTTTAAAACCATACTACTTGTAAATACATGAAAAAAACATATAGTTTAGTATTTATGGCTTTTAAATTATACTAATTGTAAACGGTGTCAAAACTATAAAGGTAAAAAGTGTTCTTTGCCATAAGCTTCACGGTTAATTGGATAGTCAGACTACTGCAGATTATTCTATTGTAATTTTAGAATGAAAATTCTAACAGTGTGGTAAATAATTTCACAGATTCCAAAATCAGTTAAATCAACGAACCGGAGCTTTTTTTTTCTAAGAGCTTCAGAAAAATCTATCCAAAAGTGATTACTTAAAAAATTTGGACAAAAAATTAACTGAGACTTAAATAAACTATTCACTCTATCCTTCACCCTATACCGAGCCGAAAGTAATTAGAAATGACGTGAAAAGCTTTTACGAGAAAATGTTTAGGCTGTTATTTATCGTGAGGGAAAGCTTTTGAAATTCGAGCCGCTCTCAAAGAGTCTTTTTAAAAATATAGTAAAAGTTTTTCTTTTAACCTCGTATCGTTATTAAAGGCGATACACTTTACCGACATTAGCGTGACAGTAATAGTTACAATTTTTGCAGATAAGTAAGAAGCTAAAATAATAAGCTTGCATATTGAATTTAAAATTAATTTGCGAGCGTATTAATTTTTTAGTTGCAAAGATAAGAAAACATTTAATTTTCGGCAACAGAAGTTTAAAATATTTTAAAGACACTTTACTGTAAATGGAACAGTTTTACAAAGCTTTAAAGTTGTGATTTTTTGCATTTTTTCGAAACAATTGCTTCCTATTAAACAATCAAATATGTGATTCAAATGAATTGTGAATCATTGTGAAAAAATAATTCTCTAAAAATTTTCCCTATAAAAAAATTGCTTTCAGGTTGACCGTGATTTTTACCGTAAATTCAATATTTATTCTAAACAGTAGTACGACTGTAAAACAGTGGTATTTTCACTGGGATTAGAACACAGGGAACCTGTTCAAAACTGTTCAAAAAGCAAACATGCAAGCTTCTGAACAATCCGTAGCACATTATGAAAACTATTACAAAAGCTACCATGATTCTCAGATAATATTTTAACTTTTCCTGTAAAATTTGCAATTTAAGATGAAAAACAAAATTGTTTGCCACGAAACTACATTTTACAATAATATTACTACTACACGAACAATAATGTTACTACTACACGAACAATAATATTACTACTACACGAACAATAATATTACCTATCACGAACAATAATATTACTCGTCATATTATAATTTTACAATAATATTACTTATCATGAACAACATTTTACAATACTATTTTAGAGTTATATCGTTAAATTGTGTTTCTGAAATAAGTTTTTCAGTGGATCTAAAGTGCCCTTTACCACATGAGCAACATCTGTATGTCTATAACTTGACGTGTACGTAGAAATTAATAAAGAAAATGAATAAAGTATAACTTTTGGAAAGAAAATAATGAAACTTAAGTATCAATAGAAAACATAAAATAATATTACCCTTGTAGCATAAAAATATTGAAGCTACCATGCACGAATTAATTTACTTCAACAACGCATTGTCTACAGCAGAATGCGTTGCAATAACGTATCAGGTAAGTTAAAAATCTAGCATACTTATCAATCGTGCAATATAAAAATCTCTCCCAATTATCATGATATGGCCTCAGAAATATTTCTAAGATAGTGCCGTGTAAATGATTACTTTTGTATAATGAAATAATTCTGTATTGTTATTTTTTTAATATTTCTGGATGTTAAGTAAGAATTTAATATTTCTGGGTTGTTGTGTAAGATTGTAAAATTTCAGGGTAGTTGGATTGTTATCGATAATTTAGAAATATTCCCAGTATAATGAAATATTCCACACCGATAAAAAAAAAGTATAGTCAGAACTACTAGAATATGGTAAAATTTATCGTGCTCCTGGCTCTCTCAGATCACCAAAAATCACGATAATTTTTACCCAAGCAGTTTAACTCGATATTAACGAAGATTATTTAATAACGAAGCACTTTAGTAGTGATTTGAAAAAATAAACAATTAAATATGGTTTTGTTTTTAACTAGGTCATTTGGTAGTACGGGAGATAAAGTTTGGTAATTTATCATGACTTCTTAGATAATGGCACAAAAACCATTTTTTGATGAAATATATATGATAATTTTGTAATTTTATTAAATGTGTGATAATAAGAACTATAATTTTAAAAACCTGAATATCCAGTAAACCGTTACCATAATGAAAGAAAATTTAACGAATTAATTGATTAAATACGATATATTTTAGTATTGTTTAAAATAATTATTGCTCTCTTTTTACCAGGAAAATTATCACCATACAAGTACGGTAATTTTACCAGGATTTTTTTCTCCAACCAGTATTATTTCAAAACTTTCTACTGTTTCGTAGTCAATGTAAAATCATTCATGTAATTTTTTAGAATATTTTTATCTAACTCGTGTAATGTACATGAGATGTAATTTTACCAGTTTACAGAGTTCCAGAAAAGCACTCTTTATCAGTTATTTTATATTCCTTGTTTAAAATGTTTACTAAAATGTATATACATTAAGGATCTAAAATTAAAAATTAAAATTTAAAAATCCCATTAAAATTAAAAGAATCACTGCTGAAAAGGTCTAGTCAATATACACCAAAACCTCTCAGTTGGAGAAAAGAGAGAGGAGTTGAAAAATTTGAAATCCAAAGAATCGGTACTGATGATGACAGGACTAAAAATAATCAAATCAAATCCTTTTGAATTGAGGGAGGAAATAAAGTGATGTTTAAATTTTGTTAATAAAAACACCTCCATTTTAAAATTCAAACTGATTTTAAAAAGTACCCTTTCGTCTTTCTCACTTGTGATTCGACATATTTCAAAAGGATTTTAACATTTCCCCCTAAAATACTAATTTGTGACACTTAAATTGTAAGCGCTTTGTTTCTACGTGTTTGACAAGGATTCTAAATACATTTATTAAGAGGGTTATTTAGTAAAACTCTGTATACTGTACAAGGTGAATAACTGTACTGTAAGATAATAACTTTTCTGGTTCAAAAAAAACATAATNCTACTTTTGCTCTACAAAACATAAATTGATGGAAATAGTTAGCACAGACAGCTCCAATTGGTGAAATGTTGAAAGCAGAAGTTCTTTATAGAATAGCCGTAGATTGGTTCCTGTCTTTCTCGAGGAGCGGACTTTTAGAATCTAATGTAGGTAAATAGTACTTCACATTTGGCAGACTGCGCATTTTACGCTCCAAAGAGGGGACAATCTAACAATCATCTGAAGCAGTTGTTTCTAAATATTCCAAAGTCTTACAAATCATTACCAAAAGCTAGTTTCCAAAATTTAATATTTCGTGCCCAGAAAATCAGTGCTATGTTTCCTTAATCTTATATATGTGAGCAAGAGTTTTCAGCTATGAACCTTAGAAAAAATCATTTCAGAAGTAGACTAACAGAAAAGCACTTAGCCTTGTTCCTTAAAATAAGCACATCTCACTTCCAACCTTAGTATAAGGAACTTTTAAAAATGAAATCGCAATTTCCTTCATCTCACTAAATATTTAAATTAAAACTTTTATATCACCTTTTTTTAAAAAAAAATTTTAAGTTTTTACTTGGCCCACCAAAAAATTTCTTTCTTGATTTTTGGCCCTCGACGAAAAAAGTTTTCCCCTCCCTGCTCTAAGGTATCGTAATAAAATCTCCCATTTTTATCACATATTATAAAACTATATTTTATTGTTAATTTTACCAAAGTCATTACCAAAGTGCTTCCATGAAAATAAGCTAGCATTTTGCTGGTCACAATAAATTTCATTATATTCTGGTTGTTTTGATTTATACCTTTTTTCTCAGTTTAATATTTAAATAGTGGTATTCTTTAATTCTTATGTAATTTTAATTTACTAAACAATCAATTTTTCAGTTGCAAAAGCAACAATTTTAGGTCCACATCCACTTTTCCTGAAGACTGGCAGCTCCATCAACTTGACATGCGTCATCACCCAAAGCCCTGAACCACCAGTGTTCGTATTCTGGTATCACGACGATAGGATGATCAATTATGATTCTTCAAGAGGTGAAATCTCTATGTACAAGAGCTCAGAAGATTCAACTACCAGTCGATTATTCATCAAAGATGCAACAGCAGAAGATTCTGGAAACTACACCTGTTGTCCTTCCAACACGCAAGCAACAAGCATTCCCGTATACGTCTTAAACGGTACTTATGGTACTTGTCATGTTTATAATTTTATTCATTAATACCTAATTTAAAGACAAAACCATTAAATTAGCAATTATTATTTTTATCAAGACACTGTATTTTAGTGCAAAATGGGAATAAAGCTTGTGCACTGTAAGAAATTCCAAAAAAACGGCACTTTGGGAGTATCATTCGTAAAATCTATTTTGCCGCAAAATCCATTTTACCGTAAAATCCACTTTACCGAAAAATATTATACAGCAGTTTTTACAGTAATATTTACTTAATTGGAGAGATTCCGTGATTTTAGTGTAGTTATTACTGTAAAAAGTACGGTCGTCCCGTAAGAAAATCCGGTTAAACTAGATCGGGGTGTCGGTACCTTTTACCGTAAAAGCATCTTTACTAGAATTTTGTTACGGAATGAAAAGTTTGATAGAATTTTTTAGAGTTATAATTAATAATTACAATAAATTACCGAATCTTTCGAATTCAATAAATATTACTGTGAAAACTTTGCGCTGTAATATTTTACGATAAAAATTGTTTTTAAGTTAAAATCAATTTTCACGAATGATGCACTCAAAGTGCTTGTCCTTCTTATCGTAATTTGATTCGGAATTTCTTAGAGTGTGCTTTATTCACGCTTTTGTATTCACGCTATATTTCTTAGAGTGTACTTTATTCACGTCGCCGTTATTTCTTCACGTTGTTTAGCTTTATTCAGTATATATTAGTTAAATTATTAAAAATTAAATTATAACGAAGCTTGGAAAATTTATTTTTGTATCAATTATTGCATAATGAGAAACTGCATATTTTTGGTTACCCCCACCTCTACAAGTTTTGCTTACTGACCGGTTGCTTCAAAATCATTTTTGTGTATTGCGCATATACAGGCAAGCATACAAGCATGTCAGTAATAGCATAAAAATTATGTCTTAATATAGCTTTAAATTTTTAAACAGTTATTTCGTATTCAATTTCTTAGAGGCATAAATGTTTTGCAGGTCGTATACGTTTAATCCGTCTTGATAATAAAATACTGAGTAATAACATTATGTAATTAAATCATTTTGTAATATAATGAAGGAAAACTACAAACAGGTTCAAGTCTTTAATTTTGAATCATAATAAAAATGAAAAACTTAATAATACCAGAAACCAAAAAAGAGTCATAAATAAATAAAAATTACTTGCACTATTAAATATAGAATAAATAAATAATTTAAATTTAAATGCAAAAAAATTTTCATTATTTTCTAATTTGACCGCCATTGCATTACCAGATCTTTTTTGTTGATTGAAAAATGGTTTTAGACCTTTATAAATGTTGTGTTTGCAGATATACAGTGTAAATAAAAATGCAGATATACAGTGCCAGTACTTTGGATGCATCATCCGTAAAATCCATATTACCGAAAAATATCCATGTTTACAGTAAAATATGCAGTAATATTTATTTAATTAGAGTGACTGAGTGATTTGACAGTAATTATTACTGAAAAATTATGATATATCAGATATTTTGGTCAGTAACATATTCCGATAAAAATGGATTGTACGGTAACGGCAGTGCCCGTACTTAGTACCGTAGCTTGATACGGAATTTTTTTGCAGCGTACAATTAATTTGACCCAAAATTTTTTTATAAACCACTAAGATATGAATTTTTTTTATAAACCACATTTTTTATAAACCACTATTATGATTATTTTTTTTTACTTTTAAAACCAAACAAATTGAAACATTTATTAAATTAGCTTCGTTTTATGAAATGAGAATTTTTTTTAAAAAATCTGTATGCAATTATTATTGTAACTTTTATAGTTATTTATTATATTACAATGGACTTAATAAAAAAGTAATAAATATTTTTATTAACGATAAGAAGGAAGGAATTAGTTTGTTTATTGATTATTATTCATTTTATATGATTTTATAAAGAAAATATTTAAATAATTTTGTAAGAAGAATTTTATTTTATTTTATAACCGTCGTTGAACAGCCGACCCAATTTTTGGGTTTATGATTACTAATGTTCAACTCATTAGCCTAGTAAATATGAACACAATCCAGAAGACAAGGGAACTCCTGAATCAGACATTGGGAGAAACTTGCCTTTGTGAAGCACTTTTTTGATGGAACTACCCCGCATTTGCTTAACATGGAGAGGCAAAACACGAAAACCTCCCACGGTTTGTCAGACGGCAAGGGGACTCTAACCGTCTACCAGGCATCGCTAGGATTCGAACCGGGTTCGCCTCATTTGAAGGCGAACACTCTATCCCCTGAGTCCCCATGACCCTTTAAAAATATTTAGAGAATTTCAAAATTTTCAAATAAATAAATATTTCTTTGAGAATATTTTATATATATGTGTAATTCAATAAGCGTCAAAAAGGTGTACTTTACCAAAACTATAAACGAAAACAATCTTCAATCAAGTTTTAAAATTTCACAAAATTTAATAGAACATTTTTTTGAATACGCTAAATATTTCATGCAACAAAGCTTCTCATATTTATTTTAAGGAAAGGAGCTATGTCTTAAAAATTTCTAATACACTTGAAAGAATAATATTATCTATATTTTTTTTTCAGTTAGCAATCTGAAAATTTTTCAATGAATTTATATCGTTCAAAAACGTAGTTATTTTTATCCATTCTAGAACATCGAAACTGAACTTATTTTTCGAATGCCATTCCACTAAAAACATAAATTGTATTTTGAAAAAGCTAAAAATTAGATTTGGCTCTGATAAAAGCAATACTATATTTTCTGTTGAAAATGGGAATGGAATAGGGCTATCTATCTATTAAGCAATAAAAATATATGGGCTACCTAAAAATAGTGAAAAGGGAAAACTTTGTTAGAAATGAGATTTTTATTTGAAAAAGAAAAATATTTCTTTTATTATAAACTTAAGGTTAGTATATATTATTTAACAATGTTTTCGAAATATCTGGTTTTGTTGAAAAAATTTTTCGTAATATTCTTCATTGGTTACACATACAAAATTCTTGTAAATATATTACCTTAAATTATCACCATGAAGCGTTTATTACATTTATTTTAAAATCAGTTTGAATCATTGCGGGAGGAGTATATTTAGATTGCCTTAGAGTCTTCAGTATGAAGCACAGATAACATTTTACTTTGAAATCAGGTTGATTGCAGTGAGTATATAAACGTTGATTACATTTCATTTCGAAATGTGTTAGATTTTGAGGTGAATTTATTTCTATTGCCTTACATTCTTCAGTATTACGCTCTAATTACATTTTTTAGTCTGTTTCTTGTGAGAAGAATACATTTACCTAACCTTATATTCTCCAATATAAGGCTCTAATCACATTTATTTTCAAAATCAGTTTGAATAAATAGATTGTCTTACATTCTTCTGCACGAAATTCTAATAATTTTTTTAGAATCTCTTTGATTGTGGGAAGAATATTTTAACATTGCCTTATATTCTTCAGTATGAAGCATTGATTACATTTTTTTTAAAAATTACATTGATTATGGGATGAATATATACTAACATTGCTTTGCATTTTTAAATATAAAGTTCTGATTAATTTTTTTTAAAATCAGTTTGGTTGAATATATTTATATTGCCTTACATTTTGTAATATAAAGCTCTAATGAAATTTTTTCAAAATCAGTTGGGTGAATGTTGCCTTACATTGCCTTATTGCTTTATATTGCCTTACATTCGTCAGTATGAATCATTAATTATACATTTTCTTTTGAAATGAGTTAGATTGTGGAAAGAAGGTCAAAGAAATATGTACTTACCTTCTACAAAAAATTATTAACAAAAATTTACATACTTATCTGAAATTCTCCAGCATAAAGCATTTATACTTCAAAACCAATTAAATTGTGAAATTTAACTTTTTTTTTAAAACCAATTATTTGCATTTACATTACTTTCAGTGTTGCATTTTATTTCGAAATTAGTTTGATTGTTATGTGTGTATATTTACTTTGCCTAACATTCCTTACTATAAGACAACCATTGAGTTTTATATCGAAACCAGTTGAATTGTGGGTTTATGCATTTATATTGCTTACATTATGAAGCATTTATTACAGTTCATTTCGAAATCAGTTTTGTGGGGTAATGTTTTTGATTTTTCGCCTTGAAGCATTTGTTTAGATTTTCCTTTATCAATTAGCTTGTGTTGAGATGTTAAGTTGTGTTGAGTTTTATAGTCTTCAGACAGAAACATTCAATCATTTTATTTTAAAATTTGTAAAAATGGTGTGAGTATCAATTTACTTCAACCTAACATTCTTCAATGTAAAATATTGATTAAATTTTTTTTAATGTCAGTTAATTTATGGTGTTTAGATATATATTTATGTATTTATGCTACATTACATTCTTTAGAACGAAGCAGTTACTAAGTTTATTTCAAAATCAGTTAAGTTGAGGGTCATATCTTTACTTTCTTTAGAATGAAGCTTTGATAAAGTATTATTTCAAAATCTAGGAGATGTCCCTCATTGCTTTAAACTTTCAAAGAGACACATTCATTTCAAAATTGCTCAGATTGTTGCGTATAAATAACTACATTAACCTAAATCCAAATTCTTTCATACGGTATATTGTCGAATTCGTTAACAAAGAGTTCATTGTAGCCTGTGCAATTCGCTAAAGAAAACCGAGTTTAAGAAAAAAAAATACAACAAACACATTGTAGCTGATGCTCATGAAAACCGAGTTAATAAATAAAAATAGATATGTATTTTTGTTTTTTAACTATATAATAGATGCAAAGGAATTGAACATATAGTATACGTTAAAAGGAAAAGGTGTTTATTTGCACTGAAAAAATTCATGAATTTCTTATATTATTTAATTTTGTTTTTTTCTTTAGAAGCTGTATACCTTAGAACGACTTTTAGGATTCAATTCTCCCAAAGACTATTAAGAAGGTGATCAGTTGTCGATACAAATTATTTGATGGTGGATTATTGAGAAGAAATATTAATATCATTAGTTTCTTTCATTTTTA